GGGCAACTGCCTGCTAATGAGAGAGGGTTCGAGTAGGGCAACTGCCAACTGGGTGGAGCGTCCCCGATTCATTGTCTCCTCTTAGCTTCTTTCTATTAGAATTACAAACTTCACCCTATTTTCCTGTTTTCAATGGTTTATTTTGCGTCAGGCCGTCAGCGCAATAAGGTGAAGGAAAATCGTTGGTTCACTAGTAGAATGATTGTAAGTTGTGTGAAAATTCAGGTTTTGATGAGTTGCTTTGCTAAGAAGTATCGGGTAATTTAGTAAGCTTATACTCACCAAGTCACTAGCATGATCGGTAGCTGCTGCTGAAGCTGATCCCGTTTTCGTTGAAACTCCGTTTGCATTATCCAAACCAACGTTTTAAAAAATGACCCGGAAACGGAACTGTTCTTCCACCGGTTTCCGGGTCAACCGTCTGATTGTTCGGTTCGAATAAATAGCCCGTTCTAACAGTAAAATTAAAAAAGAATTAAAAAAAAACAGTAAAAAACCATTGAACGGGTCAATGAGTTGACGGTTCGACCGCCCGGGTTAACGATTTGTTGACTTTTTCAACGGTTTTTTACCAGATGTCGGGTTTGAGGTAAAATGGAACCGGTTGCATTGACGGTTCCTAAGCCGAATTGTCTGACCGTCTGGGTCAACGGCAGTTCAAAAACGTTGATCCAAACTAAAAAAGTAGACGGTTCCTAATTCTCCGTATCAAGAATTTCCCTCTCCTACTGTTCTGTTCAGATCTGGTTTGGTTCTTGATTCAAGATTGATCATTGAAAATCAGTTTTCTAGAATAGGGAATGTGATTCCCAGTTGTAGGAAGGAAAGAAAATTTTTGAAATTCGCCCATTCTACTCCACATTATCCGGGCGTCCATACGATGGATCTTTCCATTAGGAGTTTCCTAATCCAAATCTTTTATTTTGATTTGGACTCTCTTTAAGAGATAAGGATAATCCATTATCTTATTTGTAGATAAAAATCAGCCTTCATAATCAAATTAGGAGTTTCATGATCCAAATCTTTATTTGGATCTAGACTCTTTGAGTGGATAGGGATAATCACTTCTTTTCAATTCTTTCACAAAGAACTGAAATCAAGAACGCTTCTTGATGACTCCCACGTGAGTGGAGACGAACTGCTAATGGTGGCGGCGACAGGAAGGAGGCGGTAGGGAGAAATTGACACAGTCTCACTGTATGCTGATTTCTCTCTTCTCTGTTGTATTTGTATCTCAGATGAGTGTGTTTGAGGTTGCCGCCCCCTCCTCCTTTTATAACCCTAAATGGATCAGATCCTAATCCTATTAGGAGATGTTGATCCCCTTAAGTGATAAGGTAAAGTCCTTATCTAATCTGCAGATCATGATCAGCCCTCCTAATTTGATTAGGAGTTTCTAGTTTTGAATCAAATTCAAATCTGAACTCTTACTGAGTGGATAGGTACTTTCCCTTATCCTTTAGGGTTGGTCTATATCTCATATTCGCCCCATTCAAGCTAATCTAATTAGCCCACCTCGTATTGGGCTTTTGGCCCATTAAGTGTATGTGCTCGCTTAAACCTTCCAAATTGCTACCTAATTGGGCTTTCTCTGTGTGGCGTGGGACCCAAACGTTGATCTACACATCAGCCACAAGGGTTCGACACAGCCTTTATCACAAGGCCTAGCCGAATTCACTAGAAAGCCCAGTGCACCCCTTGAGCCCATCATATGGACTTTATGGGCCCAACACTTACACTAAGTGGTCATTGGGCCAAGCCACCTTGTAACACCCAAGGACTATGGGCAGATGCAAGATTAGCCCATCCGATTTAACCCTCAAAGGCCTTACACTTAACCTCTCAGCCCATAATGATCAAAACACTGTCCGACAAGGGAGAACCTCTCCCCTGACTGCAAGGTACAGTGTTGCACTCTCCTCTTACATGGACCCCGAGGATTTGCAAATAATTTTGGAAACCTATAATATATATGTTATATCGTATAAATATATTTTGCAAAACAAAATTTCAACGATTGAAATCAACTGTCGACATTTTTGGTTTCCAACAGAGAGAGTGCATTTCCCCGATTATTACATCTGTCCGACAAAGGGGCTGATCCTGTCACTATGATCACCCACTCAGACGGGTTCACGAACCATCTCAACATACCTAGGTTTCGACCGCCTCTAAGAGTCTCACTGATTGGCATATCAAAGATGGCCCAATCTGCCACCCAGTGCGGTACCATAATCGAGTCTAGGGATCAGGTGTAATATTCCAGTTTTGCCCACTAATCGCCAAGGTCCAGGGCAATACTGGAATTCTGGTCCGGTTCAAGGTCTCAAGATGATCCCACACTGCATGTACCTCGGGTCTCACCCTAGTGGCAGAGACAGGCCACCCAACCGACTTGGCGGTACATCAATGTCA